TTTTTACGTAATCCAAAAAATACTCTCGTTTATAGAGAATAATAATCCTTTCAATATAGAAATCTTCTTGAGTTAGATATATATGTATACAATAATGTGTAGCTAGGATAGCACGTCTTGAGGAAACATGAGCTACGATCAAAAATAAATTCCTCTATACAAAATTCTATTATAATAATTTGAATGGCTTTTTGAAATAAAAGGATGTACAAGAAATATCTTGCATATTCTTTTATTTCAAAAGGCTATTCGAGTTATTATAATAAAATTTTCTATAGAGGAATTTAATTTTGATTGTAGCTCATGTGTCCTCATTTTTATAGATGAATACGTGTTATAAATACACGCGCCTGATTCATTTAAGATTTTTTGCTTAGAGGAAAAGCTAAGAGTAATTCCCCGCTTATCGGTAGAATACTTTTTTTGGGGTGTTAATCATAAGATTTTTTAACTATTCAGTATTTCTTAATAATTATCTTAGAATATAAGTTCTTAAAATAGACAATCGTCATTATGTCTACTTTTAATGTTATATCGTTTGATGTTTTCTATGTCAGAATTACAAAGCGAAACTTAATTACATAACATCCTGTATTTAATGAATTTTCATAACATTGGAATCTCATAATAGCAAATTTTTAATTAGGACATAAAATCCCTTCCATACATGTTGCGTGAGTGAAGATAATGATAAAATCGCGGCCACTAGGACATTGAATTTTATTAGGCCCAGTTTCATAACTCACGGTAATGAAACTGGGCCTAATAAACCGAGATTAAACTTGTATCTCATCTCTTTCCAATTGGAAAGAGATAATGAATAAGTTGAACTTGGTTAAGAGTTAATCGTGAGTTGTAAAACTGGACTTTAAAAGTGAAATAAAAGCAACTTCGTTTACGTTCCAAGAATACACCTCATTAATATGAATTAAAACCTGACTATTATAATTTCAATGTATTTAATTTACATATTTTTTTAACATTTACTGAAATTAAAATTTTATTGATATTCTCCATAAATATAATATTGATTAAGATCTCGCTTACAATTTTCGTAAATCATAGCCCGTCATATTCAGAACGCGCTGATTATGTTAGCGCATTAACATGCTATAGTTAAAGTGTTACGCATATTATTCAATTTCAGAGATAAAAGCGCACTTTTATAATATCCCGATGAGAAAAGAAATTTTAGATTCTCTCGTCTTTACAGCAGCAAAGATACACAAAAATTTTAAAGAAAACTCATATGTATACTTAAGTTTGATTAGTAAAATGTTAGGTTTTTTAATGGCACTCATATTCAGTAATTTTTTATTTTCAAGAAAAAATATCAATAAAACATAAAATTTTATTAAATAACTTTTCAAATTTCGAATACAACCCATACAGCCAAATAAATTCAAGATGCCGTCATGTTACTGACAGTCGTTGCAGTAGATGTCCACAAACAATAGAGACAAGGTGCTTCCTTATTATATGTGAAATGTTGTCCTCGTGAATTCTAAATTTGATGATAGCATCTTGATGGCGTATAAAATATACGTATACAGAGAAAAAAGAATATTCTTAAATCAACCATAATATATTCATATATATATATAAGCAAAAATATTATAATCTTATTTCAAAGATATCAATCTTGATTTGATTAAATTTGTTTTGATGCAAGAATTACATTGCATTTAATTCAAGACTTGCTCAATTAAAAATCTTATATCAGTACAAATTCAATTAAATCAAGATTGATATCTTTGAAGCAAAATTATAATATTTTTGCTTATATATATGAATATATTTATGGTTGATTTAAGAATAGTCTTTTTTTCTGTGTACCATCAATTTACCATTATATTGTCGGTACGAGACTATATATGAAATGCGAGCTCATCGCGTGCCGTCATTTTGCCATCAATATGATGCATTATTAATTATTATCACACACACACACACACACACAACGTTTGCTCTTGAAATTTTTTAACTGGTGATGTTTATTTACCCCCATATATTGCTAAATCAGTTTACACATAAGATTCTGATGTCAGCAAATTGCCGCAATTTTACAACAACTCGTGCCACTCGAGCAGTACATTAGTTTATCTAATTTGCTAAATCGTACTTAGTTTTCTTGGAATGTTCATTATATAAATAGTCATACGTCATAAGACTCTGCTATTATATTATAATGTATGTACATATGTATCAGTTAAACATCTGCAATCACATTTTATCTCTAACAACCTCTACAACATTATAAATATGACTAAGTTGTTATTATTTTTAGAACTTATTTTTAAGACTAGATTTAGTCTAATTTTGAGAAAACTATTTATCTTTTTTGATCTGATAATTTTTTTATAAAATAGCAAACAAGTGTCAATCTGTTTTATTTATAATGTCTACACTGAAAAAAAGGATTGGCTGCTGCAGCAAATTAGATGGTAAAATATGGCATCGCCAATTTTTGGTTGCAATAGCCAATTTTTGGTTGCGTTAGCCTATCCGCAATGTTAGTATAGGATTTCGATTGGTTAATCAAAAATTGGTTGCTGCAATCAATTAAAAATGCTAAGCCATATTTTACCATCTAATTTGTTGCAACAGCCAATCCTTTTTTTCAATGTACCATCCGACAGAAGTGTAGTACAATTATACATATTTAAGAGGTATAATTAACTAGTGCGTTTAAATAATTTTTTAGTCATTTCTTTTAAATCTTTCCTTGCAATTTTTCCTGAACCTGTATACGGAAAGGCATCTAAAAATATAATTCCAGCACGAAGTTTGTAGTGATCCATCATGTTTTTTGCCACAAAGTCTATTAAGTCTTGCTCCGTCACCTGCAAAAACACAATTTAATCATTACAATAAAGAATACTTAAATATAAAAAATAAATATTTTTTATTCTGCATTAAAAAGATATATAATATACACGTATAATGATATTTTTCTGACATATCTACATTAATATTTTATAACTTTACTTATCTGAAACAAGAAAATAGAAACTTACGTACTTGAATCTCTGGTTAGAATATAAAAAAATATTGATAATGTAATTAAGAGAATATTAAAATTTTATATTATTTTATAATATAAAAATATTAAAGGATTTATATTATAAGAAGAAAAATTAATATTAATGACTCATTTCAAAGCACCTAATATTATTTATATGTCATTGTTGCTTCCTTGAGAAACCCAGATAGCACATTATATTCTGAAAATATACTAAAAAGGTCACGTCTGATATTTGTACGATATTCCTATGTCCGCAGCATTGTTCGCAGTATATCCTCAGAATATCGTGATGAATTTCGAAAATTTTCCTTAAGAGTGTGTGAGAAATATCTATTAAAAATAATATTCTTCTCTAACAGAATATTATTTTTAATAGACATTTCTTATACACTCTTAAGAAAAATTTTCGAAATTCATCTCGATATTCTGAGGATATGCTGCAAACAATGTTGCTGCGGACATAGGAATATCATACGAATATCAGACGTGATCTTTTTAGTATATTCTCAGAATATTCTCAGAATATAATGTGCTATCTGGGAAAGTGTTTCAACATACTGATTAACTACTCAACAACTGATGATATTTCATTAGTTGCTGGTGAAATATGATCAGTTACTGAATAATTAATCCGTATATTGAAACACTTTTTCCTAAGTGCTATATACAATAGTGAAAAACGTTAGCAAAGACAAGTTTTTTCGTTATAAATATGAGTTTTATTGTTATAAATATGAGTTTGTATTCATCATATTTTTTAAACAATGTTCTTTAGAATACTTAAAATGAGTTCGCAATTATTCTTATTTGAACTGTATATAATAGATGCATTTTGTATTAGTTACAAACAAATGTAAATATATAACTGACACATTTAATTTTGTAAATTTTCATTCTATGACTTTATCATATCGCAATAAAAAATTGTACCTTGGCGCCGGGCTTTTTGGTAATATATGCAAGAGGATGTTCGTCATCTGTTGCATGAGGTATCGATATTACTGCAACTTCTAGCACTGCTGGATGTGATATCAAGACACCCTCGATTTCTCCGGGTGAGATTTGATATCCTCTATACTTTATGAGTTCCTTTATCCTATCAATAATGAACAATTCTCCATCTTCATCAACATAACCGATATCACCTGTATGCAGCCATCCTGAAAGAGTTCTACATTTATTTTCGTGGTATTAGATTTCTATTACTAGTTACGTACTTTTAGATTTTATGGAACAGAATTTATTTAGTTTGCATTCGTTAATTAATTAACTTATAATTAATCCTCCGATTCTCATGCTAATTTTATTTCCCAAACGTAAGTTTCCAAGTAGAACGAACGGTTGATCTCAAAAAATGTTCTATAAAGAAACTATCGTAGTTCTTGGATTTTCTGTACTGTAGTTCTTATACAATACTTTACAGCATTAATTATTGCACTTACTTATTATTGATATACTGCAAATGGCTTAAATGTTATGATTTAAATCAATATTAATTTTTTAAATAGTAAATAAAAATTAACTCTTTAAAATAGTTATAAAATAATATTCCCAAGATGGACAAATGGTTTGTTTGGGAGTCGAACGTAAATTTTATTTTTGTTGTTAATTATAATGCATATAATCTGTTTACCTTCTTCATCAATCGTACTTTTTGTCGCTTCAGGATTCCTATAATAACCGTTCATCATGGTTGCAGATTTTATCCATATTTCTCCTGATTGATTCGGATCAAGTACTTTCCCGCTTTCAGGATCTACAATTTTTATTTGCACATTCTTAGCTACTATCCCACAAGATCCGTTTTTGTGATTAGGTAATTGACACGTTGCAAGACCACCGACTTCTGTCATTCCTAATAACATAAGAAAACTGATCAAATTTTTTTAACATACATAACATAAATTTAAGTGTACTAATATTTTATCGCATTCTAACGATATTTACCATAACCTTGCAATATCTGAACGTGTGGTAAACAACGTCTTAGTTCTTCCTGCACTTTTGGCTTAATTATTGCACCACCACCTAGTATAACTTTTAAAGATGGTAATGAATATTCTTTTACGTAACCTGCTCTGACAAATCGATTTATCATACTCGAGCTAAGAAACAAAACTGCTACCTGAATAGAAAAAAATGTTTTTTTTTTTATTTTAATACTTTGTATATTTTTAAATATAATTATGCGAAGAATTGAAAAGAATATGAGCGTTAAGAATCAGGCGAGAAGACGTCGCGCAAATAATACACTTATAGCTTAAAACTTCTTTATTCAATTAAATAAGTTTCAAGCTTCATAAGTGTATTATTTGCGCGACGTCTTCTACGCCTGATTCCGAACGCCCGTATTCTTTCCAATTCTTTGATTTATAAGGAGTCTTGATTAGTTTAATTTGTTATACGGAATAATCATGCAATGTAACAAATAGATATAAAGATTACGATTATAATATATTTCCTTGGAGTAGCAATTTACATTTATCTTAACAATAAAATCAAAATAAATGCATATGATATTACAAAAGTACACTCTTTATATTAAAGATACATTCCTATAAATAGTATAAATTAATCTCATCTAACGATGAACAATTTTGACAGGAAATTTATAACATTATTACAATAACAAAAGGTTTTTATAAATCATGAATTATTTTAATTATAAATTAAAAATATTGCGATTTGTTTAAAAGGAATTGATTCAATTTTGTTATACAATTCGCGAGAAAACTATATTAATTGATATCACTTACAAAAATAATTTTGCAACAAAAAATATATATCAGCAGACTAAAATATGGCAGTTATTTAGATCACAATTTGTTTTTCCATTATTTTTTAGATCAGAAAATCTTAAAAATTAGGAATTGTACTTAAATTTTAATTATGCAATAAATTAAGTTTAAAAAAAAATTAAATTTTGACAAATAACTTTACTTTATATTTTTCAATTAATTGACAAGTCATGTCCTCGTCGAATTGCGAATAAAGGATCACTGTGGCACCCTGCGAAATCGCTATCACGTTTAGCATTACTCCACTGATCCAATAAAGAGATGAGAACCAAAGTGTTGGCACATTCGTCATATCCAGGATACTGTTGTTCTTCATGAGTATCATAGTGTGGTTAGACAATTCGACACCCTTCGGCATCCCCGTCGTGCCCGATGAATGCATGATGCATGCCGTCTTCTTGATATCGTCAAGCTCAACATAACGGAAATTTGCAGCTTCCGCATTGTTACAATTCCTCAGGATATCGGACAACGAAATCGCGCTGTCATGATTACCGAAAACCACCACCATGGGATTGCAATTTTTCTCTTTTATCGCGTTCAAAATGACACCCACAGATTTCTCGCTACAGAAGATTACCTTCGGCGTAGTCAGTTGCAAAACGTGCAATGCAGTTGCTGGTAACAAATGCTTCATAATTAATAAAGAAGTAAGTATTATGTTTAATATTACTGTATAATCAATAAATAAATAAGAAAAAATTATGTTTAATTATCACAAGGTAGTAAATTTTATTCGCGCTCATTGTTGTTAAAAATACACTTGTCTAATCAAATATAATATAGAATGTTTAAGATAACATATAATATTTGATATATAATTATCAAGAGATCTTACGTAAGTCCATATCTTCATTCCATGGATTAAAAATCGCGTTGACATATGTCGCTGCAATACAGGGCACTATGGAGTTGGGTTGATTACTCGTACACACACTAATAACGTCGCCACATTTGATTCCTTGCTTTTGTAACCATAAAGCGCATCTCACAACTTTATCTTGCAACTCCGCGTATGTAAACGTTTCATCAGTGCGTGCGTCCAACTGTACAATATTATTATTATGTAAAATTTTAAATTAAAGAATTAATTAATAAACGAAAATTAACATAGCGGATGTCAAAACTTGAAAAATATCCGGATTTTTGCAAAAATTATTGTATAGAAGTATCATGATTTTGAACTTGTCAATTTTGACATCGAATTCGTATTCCATTGACTTAAAAAGCCCTTAAATTTAAACAAATCTCGCTAAACAATTTGTTATGCATAAATATGTATAAATATGTATAAATATACATAAATATTCATGAACATGTATAATCATATACGAAATATGTCCATACATATTCATACATCCATTTTTCTTTTGTAAAATTATTTTTTAGTGTAATAGAAATAATAATAGTAATGTGAAAACATTAAAAATAATTAAAAGGATAATTTTTGCATTGTTTGTTTCAGAAGAAAACAAGTTTGAGAAAATGTATAAAAAATTATTCATTATGCATAATTTTATATATAATTATAAGTAATTCTTTTACATTTCTTCAAACTGGATTTTTTTCTAAAACAAACAGTATAAAAATTACCCTTTTAATTATTTTTCAGAAAAATTTTCAGAAAAAAAAATTATTTATTTTCAGAAAAATCATATTGCTTCTTAATCTATTATTAATATAAGAACATTTGTTTATATATTGCCGTCGTCATTGCTTAAACTCTTAACCGACATAGTCAAGAAATTTTATTTCGCTTCATATCATTTTTATTTGTTACAGCAGCATTAAAAAATCTCTCTTTATCATTTTCATGTAAGGTAAGATATTGTATAACTCGATTACTCGATTATTCGTTATGCTGCTTTTTTTGTTATATGTATAATACTATCACTACTATGTATATTAATACTATGTTTTAAATTTTAACAATATTTTCAAATGTTTTTGAAAATGTTAAAATTTAAAATATAGTTTTAATTTGCTCTTTATTGTTTTAAAGCTTTTAAACTTTTTTCATTTTTAGTAAAACATTATAAGCTTTAAAAGTTATATCTTCTTGCAAATATAAAAATTAATATTACGTGTAAACGTCGACTCACATGTGCAATTTTGTCCTCATGACTTGTAATGCTAATCCACATTAATTCTCCAAGGCTCTTATACTTATTCGACTGTTGCGTCTCTTCTCCTTTGTAAACGCCATTTTCCACAGTAAAATTCTGTGAACAGCATATAGTTAAATTGTTTTAATTGCTTATTTTACTATCTGTAATTAAGCTATATGTTTCACATTAGTTCATACACTGACGATAACTTTAACTTTAATCAATATTTTTTTTTTTGCGTTTTCATTAATGCACTGCATATTCGGAAATCCACTGCATCGATAGGAAAGTACTTCAGCACATAGCACTGTGAAGATTGATCATTATAACAACTGCTAAGCATTATATATATATATATATATATATAAATATTATATAACTCTTCATTATATAATTTTAAAGAATTTCAAATATATTATTGATAAAAATTTGCTTTGTATCTAAAGATTTTGACAATGAATATTAATCCTAGCTATATACACTCTTTTTTTCTATCCTTGATATACACACTCGGATCCCTGGGACCTCATCCATATTTGTTACCGTAACTTCCGTAAAAATGGACATTTTTTAATTAATTTTTTTTATTCAATGAAGAGTTGATTAAGGAACAAATCCGTAATACGTAAAAGTCGATAGACTTAAGGAGCTTCGAGATATATAGGTTTAAAGAAAAAGAAAAGTTCAGAAACACGAAAAAATCTCGACCTAGCAAATTGCACTGGGGTTTCTGGGATCCCAGTGTGTACAGCTAGGATTATATTTATAGCTAGAGTAAGTGCAAAAAGACCGTTTTTGTACTTACCTTTACACCCATTTTGCCAAAAATATTCGGGTTCTGCAAATCAGAGAAATCCTGAACGCGGTTGATCAACGTCACTGAGATTAGATTCAAATCACTACATCATAAACAAATTCTATGTATGGTCATGCAAGAAATAAATCGAAATCGGTTTAAAAAATAATAAGATTAATAGAATTAATTATAAATTGAATTATAAATAGAGAACAGAAAGTCGAGAGGTTCACGTTCGAATCCTGGCTGAGGTAATATTTTTTGCAATAAGTTTTTTACAGTTTTTCTAATTTAATTTAGAGGAGATTATCAAAACTTACAAAAATTAATCAAGTATACAATTAATGACTATACAGAGTCAAACGCTGTTTTTCGGTGCGTAAATTATGTACAACATGTCTTTAATACAACAAATTCGAACGTTTCGATCCCATTGTTTGGACCATCATCAGCGATAATGTACTATACAAAAACCTAACTAATGTTGGAGAGAATGATGTTAAAACCAAAAATGTAAAATCTATAGTCATTCTTATATTCCAACAGGGGTAAGTCCATCACTTGGTGGAGTGAAGGCGTGACACACACACAATTATTTTAATGAACGTTGGAAGAATATCTCTGCTAATCGACAAAAACACAATTCCATAATTGAAAATGTAAAGGTGATAACGTGTAAAACTTATTACTTTCGTCTTTATAATGTCAGTAACTAACGAAACCTGACGATGTAATGACTAATTTAATTTAGAGGACATTATCAGTTTCAAACTGATTGTGAAAATCCAAAAAGTTATCGGCGCGCAATCTAAAATAAATTGATTTAATAAAGAATATATATATTGTATTATTCAAAACATCTAACTTTGGCCGTGTTGGCATTCTCTATTGTATTTAATGTACAAATAGAATTATTAAAAGAAATTTTATTTTAATTATTATATATACATAGCAATAAAACTTTTCAAAAATATTAATTTTATTTGTTTATACTACGACAAATAAAACTTTAGTAGAGAAAAAATTCGAAAAGAAAATGACCTTGATTTTGAGTATCATGATAGTATTTATATTATAAAATATATTTTAAAATATTGTCTGCTGATTAGATAATTGTATACAAATGTTGATTCATATTACTATAATACTATCATAATACTCAAGATTACTTTCTGTTTGAAATTGCACTCTAAACTTTATTTCATATTAGTAAAAGAATGCACTAGTCAGAGATTGTTACTTGTATTCAGAGATTATTATTCGTATTAAAGAAAATTATTTTTCAAACTTACTAAAAGCAACAAAAAAGAATTGCATATGGAGAAAACGAAGTGAATTTAAAATTTTGGCATATTCCTTCTTAAAAAATGAGAAAATATTTTAAAGCTCTTGTTCAATTACTACTACTATCTTAAATTGTCATGTCAAAAGTAAGAAAATGCACAATAAAAATTATTGTAAAATATATATATGAAGATATATGTATGGTAGAGACCGCCAGGAATCAGTCAAAGTTAGATATATTGAATAATATAATATTCTTGGTTTACGAATTTAATTGATTTCAAATGTGACTGTGCGCCGAAACGTTCGGACATTTAAACACGATCAATCTGAGATGCTAGTAATCGCGAGCCGAAACATTTGGATATTCGCTTATGTATATAATCCTTCCTTATTTTAAATAAGAAACTTTTATTGTGTATAAAATATTACTTCAGCCAGGATCCTTGGCGCTTATCTTGGCTAAGATAATATTTTAGAAGAGGGATTATATATAGGTGTTTGGAAAATAATGATAAATCTTTTGCATAGGGGTAGAATGGACTAAATTGAGAAGAAAAGTCCTTTACCATTTTGCAATTTTCGCAATAATTAATAAGATATTAATTGCCAAAAATTGCCGAAAATTGGTTTACAATAATTTTTTACTCAAATACTATCAACTTTACAGAAAAACTGCAAAAGACGAAAATTATTTATTTTCTTCTCACAGAGGTCTAAGAATTTTTTCAGAATTTTTTATCAAACTTTTTAGTACTGCATTTTCTCATTTTTACCAACATGAGAAAATACGGTATTAAAAAATTCTGAAAAAATTCCAAAAAAATTCTTAGAGCTCTATGAGAAGAAAATAAACAATTTTTGTCTTCTGTAGTTTTTCTGTAAAGTTAATAGTATTTGAGTAAAACATGATTGTAAACCAAATATTCAGCGATTTTTAATAATTAATATCTTGTTAATTGCGAAAATTGCAAAATGAGGACTTCTCTTCTCAGTTCAGTCCATTCTGCTCCTATGCAAAAAATTTATCATTATTTTCCAAACACCTTATATATACACGAATGTTTGAACGTTTCAATTCGTCATTATTAACATCTCAGATTGTGTTTAAATGTCCGAACATATCGGCGCACAGTCACATTTGAGATAAATTAAATTCATGAACCAAGAATATTATATTATTCGAAACTTCTAA